TCTTCATTCCCTCAAAAAACAGCAAAGATTTGTGGGATCCCTCTCCCAGGGCTGCTCCATCTGCTTATCCCCAGACTGGATTGATCCCGGGAGTTGCCCCTTAGTTGCACTTAGCCTTGTTAAACCTCATGAGGTTCCCTTGGGGCACTGCTCGAGCTTGTCCAAGTCCCTCTGGATGGCATCAGATCCCTCAGATCTATCACTGCACCCTCAGCTTGGTGTCACCTGCTTGGTGTCCCCTGCCAGCCTGCTGAGGTTGCACTTGATCCCTTCATCTATGTCATTAATAAAGATACTAAATTAAATCATAAATTAGGAAGATGGGTTTAAATGTGACATTAATGTAGGTGGTTATCTTTGGAACCCTCTGCCTCCTTTTGAAGAAGCATGATTTGGGAAATATTAATTATTGACAGGGCAAACCCTCCTTCCAAGCACTGATTTGCTCCTACCAGCGCACATGCCCTCAGGTAATGTGGGAAAGGAAAGTTACAGGTCCTGTCCCAGGAGAACTCCCAGTAAGGAAAGGGAATCATTTTTCCAACTGTTTCCAGCACTGCCAAGTGGAGGGAAACCCACACAAGACAGCACGAGGCTGAACAGCTCCTGAGACTCTCGGGGCTCACACCAGACTGGATTTCCAACACCAGGGGCACAAAGATTTTAACCGAGCTTAAAGCAGAGCTGCTGCTGAAAGGGGCTGCAGCCTCTGCCCTGCCTCAGGCACCATAGGCGTTTGTGCACTTTGCTGTGGAACCCCGGCCAAACCTCAGCTGGAAGGGACCCAAACCCTCCCCTCCCCTGGCACTGCAGCCTGGGGTGAGGATGGGGATCCCACAGCCTCTGCAGCCCCCTCAGCCTGTGTCACACAAAGGTTTTCTCCCCCTGTACCCTTTCAGAATTTGTGCCACACAAACCCTTGGAGAGACGGGGATTGGGCAGGTTTCAGAGCAGGAGGAGCCACACCTGACCTGTTCCAAGAGCATCCAAATTACTCCCAGCTTGAAACATGGTAACATGGTCAATTCCAACAAAGGAACCAAAGAGAATCACAGAATATCCTGAGCTGGGAGGGACCCACCAGGATCATCCAGCCCTGTCCCTGCCCAGGCCCCCCAAAATCCCACCCTGGGCATCCCTGGCAGCGCTGGCCAAAGGCTCCTGGAGCTCTGGCAGCCTCGGGGCTGTGCCCATTCCCTGGGGAGCCTGGGCAGTGCCAGCACCTCTGGGGGAAGAACCTTTCCTGCTCTCCAGACGTTCCCTCAGCATGGCAAATCCCTGGAATTTCAGCTGTATTTGTTTTTTTCCAGGCTGCTGCAGAAAAAGGCCCTACAATCAGCTGGGGGGAAACGGATGGAAGTGCAGAGCCACAAACTGTCCTGGTTTTGACTCCACAGCTGCATGCGGAGCTGGGGACAGGGAGAGGGGCCAGCACAGGCCTGGAGCCCAAGCAGAGCTACACCAGGCAGGGACAGACACATCCCTGGGCTCCTGGGACTACCCAGGTCAGGCTTCACTCCGTTTTGCATTAGGAGTGAGGAAGGTGCAGCTCCAACTCCACACTGACAGGGATACAGTGACATGTCCTGGACAATGGGGATCTGCCAGGGATTGTGGATTTGATAAAAATGGGGTTTTTTGATCATGGCTTTCCCTCTGTCACTACAGCCCCACTTCAGGCCCTGTGGCTTTAAAGTCACCAGGGCAGTGACCCAAATTTCATCAGGGAGCATTTTGAATAAGCAAGGCTAAACCTTCTACTCTCATTCCTCACCCCATTAACAGCCACACTTCCATCCCTGCCCCAATCCCTCTGGAATGTATGTGGACACATCCTACCAAAGGTGCTGTATTTCCAGAAGACAGGGAGAGATTCCTCAAAGGAAAATTCACAGCATGGGACAGGGACAAATCAAACCAACAAGTGTCTGCAGACAACTGGGTCTTTATTTTAGTATTTAAAGTGCTACAAAAAACTGAAGGAGCCTTTATTGGCAACTTCCTTTTCTGCAGTCTTAGCTCTGTTGGAAGAAGCAAACACAGCTGATTAGCAGAGTCTTTAATTAATTAGATATTGTACAGCAGTTTGAGTCAGAGCTGGGTACTCACAGCTGGGCACTCGATGGCACCACTGTTGATGTCATCGATGATGTCGTGGGGGTGTCTCCCATCAATGCTGCAGCCCACGGACTGGGCAGTGCCGAGGATCTCCTTGATGGTCCCTGCAGCAGCAGACACAGCTTGTCAGTGCTCTGCACGGGAAAACACCTGAGGAGCTCACCTGGAGCAGCCTGGGCTAGGGAAGGTGTCCCTGCCCATGGCAAGGGGTGCAACTCAAGGAGCTTTAAGGTCCCTTGCAACCCAAACCAGCGTGGCTTCTGACAGAACTCCTCATTGCTCTCAGCTGTCCCTCCCCCCTCAGGACGACTCCCTCAGCCAGATCTCATACCCTGCAAACCCCCTGTGCCCCTCCCCAGGTGCTGGGACTGCCTGCCCCCAGCAGCAGAGCTCAGTTCAGCCCTCCCTGGCCGGCAGTGGAGCTTTCCCTGCACCCCAGCCCCGGACTCACCCGAGAGCTCCCGGGCCAGGGAGCGGTGCCGCATCTGCCGCGCGATGTTCACGATCTCGTCGAAGGTGACGCTGCCACTGTGCTTAACTGGGAGGGAACAGCAGCAGTGAGGCACCCGGGCACTGTCAGCTCCCCCGCTCCTCTGGGAGCACCATTCCCAGCACTCGGATCACGTCAGGAGTGGGGGTTTGCAGCTCCAGCAGTGCTGCTGACAGTGCTGCTGCTCCCAGACTGCAGCACCGAATTTCCCCCAACTCCTCTCTCTAAGCTGGCATTTCTGCAGCTCCCCTGGCTGTGCCAGGCCCTGTGCTACAGCACAGTCATGGGGCAGGGCCTGTTCTACCCCAGCCTTGCCCAGAGCAGCTGTGGCTGCCCCTGGATCCCTGGCAGTGCCCAAGGCCAGGCTGGACAGAGCTGGGAGCAGCCTGGGACAGTGGGAGGTGTCCCTGCCATGCAGAGGTGGCACTGATGGGCTTTTAAATCCCTCCCAACTCCATTCTCTCCTCAAACACAGAGCTCTGCTGATATTCATCTGTTGGTACCCTGGCACAGTAGGGATGTCCAAAACAGCCTCATGTCCCCTATTTACCAGTTAGAGATGAATAATCCTAGAGAAACGTACTGGTATTTCCCCTCTTTTAGCCCCAAAATACTGAGAACCAAACACAGGGGAACACTTACTGTTCTTCTGCTTCTTCCTGTCACGAGGTGGCTCCTTCAGAGCTTTGATAATCAGAGCAGAGGCAGAAGGAACAACCTCTATCTAAATACAAAGAAATTAATTTCCCCCCCCATTCTACATTACTAATGAAGACACTCAATCAACCTGTCCATTATCTCAACAAAGGTAATTGCCAGAGCAGTGTGGGTTTGATCAGTTCCCTCGTGCTCCAGGTTTTTTTGTGCTGCAGGAATCTGTTCCCAGGTTTTCGGCACAGGCCTCCCCACAAGCAGGAGAGGACTGCTTCCTGCCTGGGGCTTCCTCTCAGCTCACCACTGGAATGTACCAGCCACAGGCATCAGAACAGGTACGGTGGCAGGTGGCTACAGAGTTAACATTTTAAATGATCTATTTCTATGCTGCTTTAAATAAGTTTTGCTGGTTTAATGTTCTGTAAAAAAAAAAAATTATCTGCAACAGGATGGAAGTTGAATTTCGGCACACGAGGATCTTTTCTCGGGCTCCTCCTGCCTGACAAAGCCCCAAGGCTCCACACACATCCCCCCACCCACGTTTTAAGGTCTTCGCGGAAGACCCCCACACGCCCCGTGTGTGGCACTCATTTTATCCACCTCGGAAGGATGAAGGGCTGAGTGGACCCTGCCGGGATCCGGGCCGGTGGCTGGAGCAGGCGGAGCCCGGGCGGGCTCCACGCCTGCAGCACCGGCCGGCCCCTGCGGCGTGCGGTACCTGCGCTTGCCTGTTCTGGATCGTCAGCTTCACCGTGATCCGCAGCCCCTTCCAGTCGCCCGTGGCCTTGGCGATGTCATCGCCCACCTTCTTGGGGGACTGAGGGGCGACACAGAGGTCACACATGGCTCGGGTTAAAGCCGAGAGCCCCAGCGCTGTCCCGGCTGTTTCCCAGCGCCTTCCAACACGTTTCACCCTCCCCAGCTCTCCCCGTCCCCGGCACGTACCAGCCCCAGCGGTCCGATCTTGGGCGCCAGCGCCGACGTGGCTCCGACCTCGCCGCCGGTGCAGCGCAGGTAAACTGCGGGGACAGCGCATCAGCCGCGCCCCGCGGCCCCCGCCCGCCTCCCGGCCCGCTGCCCGCCACATACCCACTTTGATCTCGTTGGGATCGAACTTGGGCGGCATCGCGGCGGCGGATGGAGGCGGATGGAGGCGGATGGAGGCCGAAACACAAACCGAGGCCTTCCCCGGGCGGCTAAGAGACAGCGTGTGCTGCGCGGGCCTAATATATACCCGCCGAGCTCTCGCGAGAGGACAAGGAAATATGAATAGCAGCCGAGATCTCGCGAGAGGTGGCGAGCGGGCCGTGGCGGGATCTCTATAGATGTGTATTTTTATTTCTATATATAGATAGATAGATAGATAGATAGATAGATAGATAGATAGATAGATAGATAGATAGATAGATAGATAGATAGATAGATAGATAGATAGATAGATAGATAGATAGATAGATAGATAGATAGATAGATAGATGTGGACCATATGGAAGGGTGGCGAGGCATTGGCAGGGGCTGCCCAGGGCACCGGTGCAGTCCCGGCCCCCGAAGGTGTCCAAGGAAGGGCTGGCAGTGGCGCTCAGCGCTCTGCGCTAGGGCCGAGGCGGGGATCAGTCCCGGGCTGGATTTGGTGATCCCGGGTGATTTTTCCCATCCCGGACAATTCCGGGATTCCGGGCGGGGCGGTCCTCCGGGCGCCAGGGGGCGCGCTAGCGCGGCGGGCGGGGCGGGGCGGGGCGGGCGGGGCGCTCCGGCCGCGCCGCTCGCTGGTGTCACCTGAGGCGGCGCTGAGGCGGCGATGGCGGCGCCGAGCGGTGAGCGGGGCTGGGCAGGGCAGGGGGGACCCGCTGTGGGACCCGCTGTGGGACCCGCTGTGGGACCCGCTGTGGGACCCGCTGTGGGGCTGTGCCGGGCCGGCACCGGGCACCGCGCCCCGCGGGGGCTCCTCGGAAGGGCTCCGGAGCAGGCGCTGCCCTCGCTCACTGCCGCTGCTCTCCCCAGGTGTCGGGCCGCTGCCAAAATCCCGGCAGGGTCGACTCACTCCTCCGTCCTTCCGAGGTTCTGGGCCCTCGGGCACTGAACGGCGCGGTAATGGATGAGGGAAGGGGAAAGAAGACGAGGAGCTTTGAAGTTGTATAACCCTGGGAGGGGGACCCAGGGAGAAGAAGAGAAGAATAGTGATGGTGAGGGAAAGGAAGGACGGAGAGGCAGAGCTCTGGTGAAGACGAGCGGAGATTCGTTCCAGGCGTTGCCAGGGCAGGCTGAGGCTGTGGCAGCTCCAGCACAGAGAGCAGACGGTGCAGGACAGCGAATTCCAGAGCTGCCGTTCAGCTGCTGCCTCCTCTGGGTCTGTTCCAGTGCCTGTGGGACAGCCGGGGCAGCCTGTGGCTGCCTGGTGACACCTCTGTCCCCAGGGCCAGGCAGCATCTTCAGGAGCCCACCCAGACGCTGGCTCACTGCTGCCTCACTGTGCTCCTGGCTGTGTTTTCCCAGACTAAATAAAACATCTCTTCTTTCCACATCCTCACCTCGTCTCATTACAGTGCCCAAATGGATTTATGGTGTCCAGAATGTTTTGAAAACTGGGCCTGCTCCCAGAGCTGTGTTGTTGTGTTTGAATTACAGTTAGTAAAATGAAATGTTTGGTTTTATTTTGCTGTCATCACCCCAACAGCTGCAGACTGGGAAACACCCAGAAAACATTGCTGTGCTCTTCCTGAGTATGTGGCTGCTCCTCAGGCAGAGCTGGTGCCTGCAGGGAGCAGGGGGATCAGCATTTGGAGTCTGTGGGTGCTCACTGCCTGCAGGGTGGGTGCTGGCCTTGGCACTTACAGGCAGTTATTTCAGTAGTTTAATAAATAAAAATTACATCATATAATGGTCACATGCCAAGGGCCTTTTCCATTCCTGGCTGCTGAGTTTGATGTGTCTTCACTAAAGCAAATTTCCACTTTTGAAAGCTGTTCAATCCATTTAACAAGTCTCTGATCCTTCATCTTGTGATGCCTGGAACAATTCTTTTCCTGTTCACTGTCTGCCCTTCAACCTTCACATCCTTATCCATTTCCTTGGGTGAAAAGTGATGATTTCCCACTGTCCCCATGACCAGTGAGATCTGGCTGGAATAGGGAAAGTGTGGTGGGACAAGGGGATGCAGAAATGTTCAGCAGAGTTGAACACGGTCATCCATTCAAGGATATTTTATTGCACCTGTATTTTAAGTCACCTTTGCCTTCTGCTTTCTCATCCAGAAATCTCCTTTTATTTGTGCCTCTGATGTCTTGCCCTTGATTCTGCCCTGTGTTTCCCTGACAGTCAGCTTCTCTTCTTGCTCATTTTGAGTTCTGGCTGTCACCTTCTCTCCTGGGAGCTGGGTCAGAGCAGCATTTCGATAATCAATAATCAATAATAACAGTGTGACCTGGTTAAAGAGGCAGAAATTGTGCTGGCAGGGACAGAGCCACGGAGCTGCTGGAGATGAGTTTGTAGCCACCTCCTGCTGTGGCCCATGGCTTGTCCCAGTGAGTGCTGTGACAGCAGGACAGCGACTCAGGGTGTCTCTGCCTCCTTGTTCCTGCAGTGAGAGCAAGAGAGATGAATTATACTGAATCATGTTACTTTTACAGTGAGATTTAGCTCTGTAAAGATTTTACAGAGTTTTTGGCAGAGCTCTCCCTGCTCAGGGAACATCCCTGTCTGGATCCTGTCAGTACCTCCTCCTCAGGAGCCTTTGAGGCCAGTTTGCAGACAGAGCTGGCAGAGAACATTTTAGGTGCAACCCCTGAGCCCTGAGTGTAGCTGTGCCAGTTGCTGCTCCACTGGTGAAGCAGTGCCTCATTTGTGCTGATTTTTAATTGCTTAGGAGTTGTAAGCAGTGTTTTAAAAAGTCACTGCAAGTGTTTTAATTGTTACTGCCCATTCAGGGCTCGCTGTTGCCCTCCTGCCCTTCTCTCACTCCCAGTCTCACCTCCCAGCCATGTCCCTCTGGAGCCCCTGTCCAGCTGCAGCCCCAGCTCAGGCTCTTTCTGCCTTGCCCATTTGTGCCCCCTGGTCCTGTGCAGCCACAGATAAACCCCTTTTTCTCCTTGATGTCATTGCCCAACTGGCCTCATCTCTTTTCCAGCATCCCCACTGGTACCACCTCGTTGGCAGCTGCTCTCCCTATTCCTTGTCCAGCCACAGCTTTCTGCCTTTCCCTCAAAACCTGCCAGCAGCTCCTTTTTCTCCCCTGCTGGGTCAGAGCCCTGTCCCAGAGCTGCCTGGTGTCTGTTCCCTTCAACCACCTGCACTCCTGATTCCACCAACATCTTCCTGCACCCAACCTTTCCTCTCTCAGGTTCAGCTTCTCTTCCCTCACACTTGAACCAGCTGGAATCCTTGCTCTCAGTTCTTTGTTATTGTGCTAGAATTGATTTTGAGTTTAAATGGTTTGGGTTTTATCCCTGGTGCTTGATTTCTTGATACAGCTTTTTAGTTTTTAATTCCTGGAGTGGACCTTGCATTTCTCTGATCCCTCAGCAGCCTTTCTCTGTGCCTATCCCAGGGCTGACCCAGACAACCAACCCCTGTAAAACCACAGCAGGGCTTGAGTGCCTCATGTTTGTACTTCCCTGTGCTGGAGCTGCCTGTGTGATCCAGCTAAACAAAGATATTTGCTGACACAATTTTTTTTTTTTTAATTTTCTTCCCAACTCGTTAGGTCCCAGTTCTGCAGCCCAGGCTCCCCAGCAAACACAGACCCCAGGATCCCTCAGCCTCCCTCTGCAGTGACCATCTGTGCCCCTGGACAGAGGCAGGGTCAGGACTGAAGATGCCTCTCTTCTCCAGGAAGAAGAAACCCAGTGATGATGCTCGGAAGCGCCTTGAGTACCAAATGTGCCTGGTAAGCACTGCCAGGGTCATTTCTGTCCTCTGTGCCTGGTCCTTGGGTGCCAAATGTGCCTGGTAAGCACTGCCAGGGTCATTTCTGTCCTCTGTGCCTGGTCCTTGGGTGCCAAATGTGCCTGGTAAGCACTGCCAGGGTCATTTCTGTCCTGTGTGCCTGGTCCTTGGGTGCCAGATGTGCCTGGTAAGCACTGCCAGGGTCATTTCTGTCCTCTGTGCCTGGTCCTTGGGTGCCAAATGTGCCTGGTAAGCACTGCCAGGGTCATTTGTGTTCTCCATGCCTGATCCTGGCTCCATGTGATTTGGTACATCCCTGCATGACCAGTAACCACATCCCATGAGCAGTAATCATGTTCCTGATCCCACAGAGAGAGCAGGCTTTATTCCTGATGTACCTCAGGGAATTTCTTCCCCCGTGTCTGCCTTTGCCCTCCCACCCCCTTCCATCCCTCTCTGTGTGGTTCCATGGGGCATCCTCCACCCCACCTCCTGCCAGCCTGCAGGTGGGATCCCATCTTCCTTTCTCCTCCATGCGCCTTTTGCCCTTACAGATCTCCCAGTTTGTTTTTCCTTCCAGGGAACTTGTGACTTCCATCACATCTGCCTTGCCTTATGCCTCTCTTTTGCTTCCCATTATCGTGATCTTCCTGTCACTCTGCGGATTAACTCATTAGATGTTGCTGTTTGTTTTCCTGGAGTAGGATTTCACTAGGATGCTCTGGCACAGGGAATCTCCTGGGGAAGGGATGAGGAGGGGCTGGGGGAGCTGGAAAGGGGCTCAGGGGATGAAAAAGGAGGCTCAGGGGGGAGCTTGTGGCTCTGCACAACTCCTTGACAGGAGGGGACAGTCGGGGGGTCGGGCTCTGCTCCAGGGAACAGGGACAGAAGGAGAGGGAACGGCCTCAGGCTGGGCCAGGGCAGGCTCAGGGTGGATTTTGGAACTTTTTTTTTCTTGAAAAGCATTGCCAGGCATTGCAACAGACTGCCCAGGACAGTGGTGGGGGGGGTCACCATCCCTGGAGGTGAACCAGAGGTGTCTAGAGGTGCCTTTGGGGACATGGGTGAGTGGTGTCTGTCCAGGTTCATCACTTTTAGCAGCTGCATTGCATGGACATGATTTGAACATGGAAAATACTTTGGAACAGAACCAGACTGGTTTGGATGGAAGGGACCTTAAAGCCCATCCAGTGTCACTCCTGCCATGGGCAGGGACACCTTTCCCTGTCCCAGGCTGCTCCAAGCCCCATCCAAACTGGCCTTGGACACTTCCAGGGATGGGGAGACCACAAACTCTCTGGGCAAGATGCTGTATTTCTGCATGGTCTGATTCTCTGGGTGTGTTTCTTCCCTCTCCAGGCAAAAGAAGCTGGTGCTGATGACACCCTTGACATATCCAGATGTGAGCTCTCAGAGGTATGTCCTCTACAACTTCCAGTCTTCACTCACAGCTCTGATTCTCTGTCTGCTTCTTGATGCTAACTGTCAGATTTACTCTCATGCCTTTGAGCCTTGAGACAGAAATTGTTACTGGTCCACCTTTTCCTCTATCTCTTGAGCTCTGGCTTTCAGTTGGGGGCTTCTTCCCTGTTTTTATGGTGGGAGTTTTCCTGTCCTGTCTCATGCTTCAACACCATTTCTGTCCTGGGAATCCTTTAGAAGGGCAGCGTGGTCTCATACCCTCCACCAGTACCTTGTTTGACCCTAGTTTGGGACCTCATAGCTTAATTTTGCTGGTCCTGAGGGAATTGGTTTGCCAAAGGCTGAGTATTTCTAATCTTGGAACTACACAGTCTGCCACCCATGGTTGTTTTTCTCTGTAAATGAAAATCCCAGTCCTGCTTCCAAGTTGCTGAGTAAGGATGGAAGTCTCACTCCCAGCTTGGCTTATTTTGTTGCAGCCAACTAAATGAGAAACAATCTGTCTGCTGGTGTGTGGGCAGGCAGTGACAGAGTGCCAGGCACCCAGTCACAGATTTTCCTGCTGGCAGCCAGGCCAGCCTCAGGCAGAAACCCATTTCTGTGTCACTTTTACTTTTTATTCCTTGTCTCATGCTTCTACAATATTGATCCTGAATACAGGATGCCCTTGCCAAGCAAAGTGGGGAGATTTGACACCATCCTGGAGAGGAGAGCTGCCTGCTGTGCAGTGTGAGCAGAGCTGCTTGCTGAGACTTTGGGATGTTCCAAGCTCAGGAGCCAACAGCAGCTCTGTGTGGGTTGCAGGCTGTGTGGGACAGCCTGGGTGTGCAGGGTGGCAGACAGAGGATCCACCCAGCCAGCTCCACTCAGGGCCACACCTAATCTGGGATGCCCAGCAGCTCCTTTTGGACCATAAAACTGTCTTACTGTTCATTTTCATTGTTGTTTCAATAAATGAAGTGAGACATCAGTTTGGTTTCACAATTAACCATGGCCAGGAGTGTGGCTGCTGCTGGTTCTGTGCTGCAGGGAAGGTCACAGTGCCCAGCTGTGCCTGGCAGGAGCTGAACTGGCATCTCCTTGGTCTGCCTGTCCCTCTCCTGGCACATCAGGAACACTCTGTCCTGCCTGGTGCTCACCTTTCTCTCTCAGCACACTGAGTGTGTTCGGGAGGTTGCCAAACCACAGGGTGCATTTCAGGGATGAGTAAGCTGAACCTTTGCCTGAGCTCATCTGCACAGTGAATATTAAATCACACAAAGCTTGAAGTCCTGCCTAAGCCTCACCCAGTTCTGTGGCACTGCTGTGTCATGGAGAGCCACTGGAAGCTGTTTAAATGGAAGCTCCCTGGGAAGTACTGGGCCAAAATCAAAGGGCAGTAATTTTAAGCATCACTTTTATTTTCAGTCAAGCTGTTCACACTTTACAGGTGGACAGTGTAGAACTGCTTAAAAGAGAAGTCTGACATGACTATTTTTTATTGTTTTTAGGTTCCTTATGGGGTCTTTTCAACCTGCAAGGTCTTGCAAAAAAAGGTAATGTTGTAATCAGAAATTATTAAATAATTCTATTAATATGCTTAACTATTGTTGTCATGTTTGATATGACTGTATTTGGTTGTTTTATTGTGGTCCAGAAGGAATTTTATTGTCAGGAATTTGTCCACCTGTGTGATACATAGAGAACAGTTTGAGTCAGATCAGTCCTGCCTGTGTTTTTTAAAGTTAACTTCTGCCAGGAAAGACGAGATGGTTGTTCCTGTCTTAGGACATCTAAGGGTATTTCTCACATGAGGAGCTGGGCTCTGGTTTAGATCTCATGTAAAATATTTGACCTTCTCTGACAATCTATTTCCTACTGCAATGTTTTATATGATATTGAATAAGGTATTGAGTTCTTATACAGCTTCCCCTGTTCAATCTCAACAAAAGTGCTTGTTCTGGTGTCTCTTGTGTTTATGTGACAACGGGGCTTTTCCTCCCCAGGTGCTGATTATTCATACCAATAATCTGACATCCTTAGTTCCAAAGTCCTGCAACCTCCTGAGTCTCATAACTGTGAAGGTAATTGTGATTCTTAACAGTTCAACTGCAGCTTATTTTCCTTGGATTTGAGGTGCATTAAAACACACCAGCCCAAGTAAATCCCTCCTGGCTGGCTGGCTTTGCCAGGAATCAGCACCAAGGTGTGACACCTGCCTTTTGTGGGTTCAGCTCCCAGGCTGACAGACAGCAGTCACTGTGTGGTTTGTGTCACATCACCAGCAGCCCCACAACTCATTTATCCCCTGCAGAATCCCACAGTTTCCCCCTCAGCAGCCTCACTGGTGGTGGTGGTCAGGCAGAGCTGGGTGTGTTATGGGGTAGATCCATTTCTCTCCTGCTCTGGAGGGTCACTGGAATGGGAAGGAAACTGGTGATAGGTGTGACAGGGGGGATTCCCCAAGAGGCAGAGTCATTTCAGCAGCTCCACAGAGAGGGTGGGAGGTCTCCAGGTCTAGTCCTACCCTCTCCCTGCACTGCTGTTGGAGCAGTTCATCTTCCAAAGAGCAGCTCAGCTCATTGATCCTGCAGAAATTCCTTCTGCCAGCCTGGTTCCAAGGGGATGATTTATCCATTTGGCTCTTCCAGTTTTGTGGGACAGCTCCCTCAGTGTCACTGCTCTCCCTTGTCTCATGTTTGTTACTGATGCCTGAATTTCCAAAAGACCTCCAAGAATTAAGTACCTGCATCCCCTGGAAAACTTGAGCTGCTTTTCAAAGTCCCATTGGAAGCAAAGTAATTTTCGTTGTGAGGTAATTCATGACTTTTGCTTCCAACCTTGTTTGGTGACATCATCTGCTTTTTCAGGTTCTGGATCTGCATGACAACCAGCTGGCATCACTTCCTGCTGATATTGGTCAGCTGACAGCTCTTCAGGTAAAAAAATTGCAGCTGCATCCCAGGTGTCTGTACAGGGTATGGAAAAGAAGGAGGAAAGGAGCAGGAGAAGAGCAGGAAAAGCCAGGCTTGGTTATGTTCTCCAGCTTGGTACAGCCCAAGTGGCTCCCATAGCCATGCAGATGCTTTGAGCAAGCAGAGTCCTGTTGCTCTCCCCAAACATTCAGGTTTTGCTGTTGTCCCTGGGGTGGTTACATTGAGAGCCCAGAGCAGTGTCTAAGGGCACACTCAGGGTCTCTCTGCTCAGGGGACAGCTTTAGGTGAGAGCTGGAGTTGGGGAGGGCTGCCCTGGACACTCCAATTCCCAGTTCCTGAATCTGGATCCAGCACCACATGTTGGTGGTGAGCAGGGATCCTTACTGCCCCTGGTAGCTTGGCATGCCCTTTATCCAGGGCTGGTGGAAAATGCATTTTTTTAAACCCTGAAAGTGTTATCTACAACCAATTTCAAGTTGTACTTCTGTACCTGAAAGTCCCAGCAGCACAGATTTGTAGAAGACATGAGACTTGGATGAATATTTTGAATCTTTTTTCTGTTAATACCTTAGGTCCTAAACCTTGAAAAGAATCTTTTAAAAAGCCTTCCACAATCTATAGGAGACCTCGCACAGCTCCAGGTCCTCAATGTGAAAGGTATGAAATGGGATTGCTCTGGGCAAAGCACATTTATTATCTGGTCATGCTGAGCTGTATTAGCAATTATTCCTTATAATCGAGACAAGCACCACATGGTTTACACACTGAATGCTGAGGAAGAACACAAGGAAGGTTTGAATTCAAATAGTTGGCAAGGCAGGAGAAAGGATCTAAGCAGAAAATGCATCAGCCTCAAGCCCTGCAGTAAAGCAAGCAGAGCACTCAGCCAGATAAACCGAATTACAGTTGGGTCCCCCAAGACCCAGAGCTGGCTCCTGTGAGCCTGTGTATCCCCACCAGCCTTGCACAGCCCAAACACAAGGGTCACACCTCTTTTCCAGACCCCTGGGCATTCTCCAGCTATGCAGTGCCATAAATCTGGGAGAAAAAGGAGATTTAGTTATGTGGAGCTGTTGCTGAAACAGGGAATGCAATGGCGGGTGAGGAGCTTGGAAGGACAGCTCTGAGCCCAGGGTGTGCAATCTCACACTCAGTCCCCTTCCTCCCATCCCTGGGACTTAGGCCAAGGGAGGAACATCCCATGTTACAAATATTCTCCTGATAAAGACACAGATCCAGCCTGCAGCAATGACCTCAGCTGAGAAGGAAATGTGGATCCCAAGTTGCCCTTGGTGGGCAGTCACATCCTTTGAGTCCCTGTGTGACTTGGCACAGCCCCATCCCTATGGAAATGAGCTGTACATGGGTTGGTGTTGGAACAGATGACCTTGCTGGCTCCTGTTTTGTGAAGGTTGCAAAAGGAGACTCAGAGGTGACCTTATCACTCTGTACAGCTCCTGAAAGGTGGCTGTGCTCAGGTGGGGCTGGGCTCTTTCTCCAGGCAGCACTGACAGAACCAGAGCACACAGTCTCCAGCTGCACCAAGGGAAATATAGGTTGGATATTAGGAAAAAGTTTTTTACAGAAAGGGTGATAAAGTTCTGGAATGGCTGCCCGGGGAGGTGCTGGAGTCACCATCCCTGGGTGTGTTTAACAAAGCCTGGATGTGGCACTGGGTGCCAGGGTTTAGTTGAGGGGTTGAGGCTGAGTTGGTCTTGATGATTTTAAAGGTCTCTTCCAACCCAGTGATTCTGTGTGTCTGTGGTTTTAGCTGTCTTTCTGCCCCTGCAGGGAACAAGCTGAGGGAGCTGCCCGGGAGCGTGAGCGGCCTGCGGAGTCTGCGGGCTCTGGATGTCAGCGGGAACGAGCTGCAGGAGCTGCCCCGGCTGCTGGCCCACGCCCGCACCCTGCAGGTACCAGCCCTGGGGCCAGCCCTTCCCAGCCTGCTTCCCTCAGCTGGGAATAAATCCAGCCCACGAGGGGAATGTGTAGGGTCTGGGCAGAATGTACTGCAGGGGATTGTAACAGGGCTGTTCACACTGTCCAAAATGGCTTTTCTGTCTCTATTCTGGTCTTTTCTGATAATTTTTACCATTTAATCTAATCCCTTTGTCATTTAATTCTGATCATTTTGTCATTTAATCATGACAAAAGTGTTCCCCAGAGAGTGAACCTCTGGATTTTACCTGCCAGGGCTGTCTTTAAGAGCACAAATCGTGCTTCTGTCACCCTGGTAGATCTCCAACTTGTTGTCAGCTTTCATGTGTTTATGGCTCTCTGAAGTGCACATTCAGAAGCAAGATTTTTATGGATATGTTGCCTTCTGGCTGCCAAACCTGTCAGTACTAAATGGTGCAGTGTGAGGCAGCAGGGCTGGCTCAGACACCAGCACGAAGGTGTGAATAAATGCTCTCTGTCTCACACACAACATTTTGCTTCACTTCTCATGAGGACGGCATGAGTTGAGGCATCTGTGCAGATTTGCACTCTGTGCTTGGTAAAGCGGTTCCTTTCTAGGCCTTCCTGCTATGCCCTTCCCTAAAAATGCAGCACTAGGTCCTTTGGTGGCCACACTAGGACAAAACAAGTGGCTCTTCCTCCTCTCCATGTCCTGATATCACCCCTACTTCCATGCTGAAGGGAACTCCTGACACAGAGTAGGGAATGTCTGTAGCTGAGAAGTGCTCTGACCTCTGGTACCTAAATATGAAGTGCCAGTGCCCCCATGAGAGGAATGTTCAGTGAATGGCCAGCTCAGAAACTTCCAAATAAGGGACAGTGGAGTCACCTCTGAAAGGTGCCAGACACCCAGCAAGGATTCAATACAGCTTCACATTTATGTTAGGATTTAGGGTAACATTAAGTAAGATTTTTGGGGAGCTGCTAGGAGAACTGCAGCTGGACTCAGAATAACCTGGAGCTCTGTGTTCTGTTTTGGAGACGCTGACCCTGGATGCCTCTGCCATGACCTACCCACCCCCTGACATCTGCAGTGCGGGTACAGAGGCCATCCAGCAGTTCCTCTGCAAGGGTAAGCCAGCAGCACCTGGGCTGTGCCCAGAGATGGCATTTCTGAAAAACAGACATTGTGTGGGCTCTGCTTGGGGTGGTTGCTGATGCCCTGCACACCTGGTTACCTGTACTTGGCAAACAGCACAACATGAGTCCTTCCCTGAGCCCCGCCACACTGGAATGTAGAGTGTTTTGTTAAAAATCAGAGTGGCTGGGTTGGGCTGTCTCAGTGGCCATAAGAGGTCAGTGCATCTCCTGTGGTTATTTGGATTTTCTGCTGTGGGAGGATTAGGCATTGTCCAGCTGTCACTGCTTTGGGACAAGGAGAGAGACTCAGGAGTCACTCAAGGTCCCTGCTGCCCTCATTTTCTCTAGGGAAGGATCTGGGCCCTGCAAATTGTTTGGGGAATGGTGAAAACAGATGGAAAACTCAAACTCACAGATAATATGTTGGGAGTTTTTTAGACATTGTGTTTAATACAGACAGGGAATTTTGGTGGAGGTTTTATGCAGGGAAAGTGCCTTGCCAGACATTGGGATATTCCCTGAAAAAACAGGACAGTCAGAACTTATTTTGATCTGGGCAGTAACATCTGCAACCCTGCAGAAGTCACCAAGCCTGCACCTGTGTGCAGGATGTGTTTCTGTCTGAGCAGATCCTTGTCCTGGTGGGGATGGAGTGGCCCCACCTGCTCCCAGAGCTCCTTGTCCATCCTGCCTCAGCTGGAGGAGCCCTGCCAGGCATTCCTTGGTGTGTGGGGAGAGGGAGCACAGCTGGAAGCAGTCTCACACACCAGCCAGCTGACAGTCATGGTTCCAAGGTGGTCTTTGAGCCTCAAGTGTTCTTATTTTGTGTCTGGTGCCTTCCAGAGTGTGGAATTGCATACTACCCTCCCTCACAGTACCTGCTCCCCACGCTGGAGAGTGATGGAGGAGGAACTTCAGTGGATGGGGTGGACAGGACAGTGCAGAAGTACCTGGAGGAGGAGAGTGAGTGGCAGGTGAGGCTCCCCTGCACCAGGGGGTTTGGGATTTGTCCCTGTGCTCCACCAAAGCATCTCACAGCACTTGGCACATCATCCCTCATCACCTTCCCCTCCATGAGTTGTGTCTTTTATGACTGAGGGAGCAGCCAGGCACAGTGTGTGAAGGGTGGCTCATCTTCCTGAGCTGGGGTTGGTGTATCACCACACTTACTCCTGGAAGACACATCCCAAGGAATTGTCTCCATCCCTGAAAGCAGTGATAGAGCCAAAGGACAGGGTGACAGTGTGTTTTTGGAGGGACAGCAAACTGTAGCAAACTTGTGTTTCCCTGCCAAGTGCTAGACATGTTCAGCCCTACCTGGGAAAGGGGAGACTGGACCAATAATTGTGCCAATTCCTGTGCTCTTTGGCAAGTGCAGAGTCAATGCCTTTCCCCTGAGTGACTGGACTTGGGCCTGTTTTCCTGTGCCTGTCGTTGATGTCTTCATTCAGTTAGGGGAGGTTGTACTGTGGACTAATAATATCTACACAAAATTATGTCTGAGAATAATTGCTGATATTGCTTATTTTTCAGAACAAATTCTTGGATTATGAGAAGAGGAAGGTAAGGATCAACTCCTGCAACTGCTTTGTCTTCAGCATGGGTCTGCTTCTGTTTTGTGTTTCCCATCTTTTTATTTTGTTTCTCATTCCCCTCACCTGGCTGCACTTTTAGTTTGCTCTTTTTGTTTTCCTGGCCTCTGTCTCCTCCCCTGTGCAAGGCTCACTTTGAAGCAGCCACAGCTCCTGCCTTGCAGTTCCCCGGTGCCTTTGGCTTGAGCTGCTCAGAGCTGGCTGCTTCCTTCAGACAAGGGACTCCTGTGCCATGTGGAGCTGAGCCCAACCTGCATTTTGGGCTTCCCTCCACGTGTTTATATTGGCTGGTTTGGTATCCGTAGATGCCCAGGGAATTCAGCTCCATGACATGAAAGTGTTTGGAGACTGTTATGAAGGAAGCAGCAGCTTCTCCATCCCAGGTTTTGGGTTCCTAGGGAGAGAACATTCCCCTCCCCGAGACAAGCCTCCTGTTTGCCATTTAGCTTCCCTTCTTCTCTGTAAGGGACTCCTGTCCCTTGCTTTACCTTTCTGACAGAATATGTTCTTGCTGGGGAAGGAGATTCCTGCCATTCATCTCTTTTCTGATTCCTCTCAGGAAAGAAAAACGCAGGAAAAGCTGGAATTTGAGCGGCGCCTGAACATGGGGCAGCGAGAACAGGCCCTGCTGGTGCAGCAGCTCGGCAGCCACAAGGATGAGATCCTGCAGACAGTGAGGGAGGTGGGTGTGCTGGGCAGGGCCCTTCCAGGGCACTCTCTGCCTTCCCCAGACCCACCACCTTCTCCTGGTTTCCCTGCTCTGGGCAGGAGCAGCAGAGGCTGGAGCAGGGTCTGTCGAAGCACCAGCGCTCTTTGGAGGAGGAGAGGCTGAAGCTGCTGCAGCAGCTGAAGGACACAGAGCAGGGCATCGCCAGCCGGATCCAGAAGCTACTGGAGGATAACCAGAGGTGAGGTCCAGGGGGTCTTTCTCTGATTCTTTTTTTTTTTTTTAATGTCATGTTGTTTTGAGCAGTTCATTTCACCCCTGAGTGTTTTGGACCTGGTCAGGATCGATGTCTGGAGGAACTTAGCTCCTGGACTGCCAAAAACGCATTTAAAACACATGGAATTTGCATCTTAATAAAACTGTTTCGCAGATGTGTAATGTTGGGATTTTGCAGTGCTATGGAAGAAATTCAAATTCCTCATGGAAGGTGTAAATTTGAGGCCTTAAGGTGCCCCTGTCTGTGTATGCTGGGTCTCCATGTGAGCTGGTGCTGATGGAGGTACCCAGCCTGCTGAAAGCTGCTCTGCTGTGCCTGACAGCAAAGGTGTTTTATCTCAGGCACATGGGGGGATTGTTGGGGTTGTCCTGTGCAGGGCTTGGAGCTGGATGATACTTTTGGGACCCTTCCAAGTCAGGATACTCTGTGACTCTGTGATTCTGCCCTCTGGGGGACCAGGATATTCTACTCAGCTTGGTTTAAAACCTTTTGTTTTATCTTTTTTTTTTAGGCAAAAACGAAGTTCAGACATTTTGAAGTCCTTGGAGAATGAGAGGTGAGTCTCTGAAATAAACTTGTCTGGAAAAGGGGTAAGAAGCTGGGAAGAGGACTGGGAGCTTCCTTTCAGAGTCACCAGTCTGAATCCACCCTAAGCCAGGTGAGGTTCATCTCATACCTGCACCTGGCTCTGGTCACTGTTGGAAGCAAGACACTGGACTCGGTGTGCCTGGTCCTACCCAGTCTGGCACACCCAGTGACAGGCTGATTTTACCTCTTTTTCATCTCTGAATAGTCCTAAACAATGAGTTTGGGAACAAAACTCTGTATTCCAATATCAAGGACCAACAGAGATCCTCCATCTGCTGGCAAGCAAGGCAGTTATGAAGATGTTCCAGCAACAGATTCAGGCCAGGAGGAGTATGTGGAAACAAATCTGCAATTCAACCAACACTCTGAGCTAACTCTGCCACCAAAAGTCACTGTCCCCAGCTCTGCCCTGTGTAAGCTGCCCCCTCCCATCAGCCAACAGTGCTGTGGCCCAGTAAACTGGCTGACCAGCATCCAGTTGTTTGTCAGACTGTTCCCAGCCACACCAGCTCCTGAGCTGGTAAATGGTGGGGGGAATGTGCTGGAACAAGGACAAGGGTGGTGGGGAGGGAGGCCAGGCACTGCCTGCAGTGGCACTGCTCACTTGGGCCAGCTGTGCAGGGCTCACCCAGCCTCAGCAGAAAGGAGAGCCAGGGAAGGGTCTGGCACTGTTTGGGGAGAGCATGTGCATGTTGTGTTGATGTTCTGTGTCTCGGGAAAATCAATTTCCCTGTCTAAAGCCTCTGTCCCTGTGGTTTTGAGCAAATGTTGTCTCTGATAAAACTTAGAGGTTCTTCACCAAAAAAATCACCGAGCTTTGGTGTCTCTGATAAGCCCAGCTTTCCTGAGCAGGGTGAACCTGCTCAGCCTTGAGACTCTGAGCTGGGTGGGTAGTGAAAAAGGGATCTTTTGAAGGAGTGGCTGAATTGTTTGTTGGCAGAATCAGGATGGAACAGCTGATGGCAATAACCCAGGAGGAGACGGAGCAGCTGCGCAGGAGGGAAGTGGCCTGTAAGTCCAGACAGGTCTGGGGAGATGAGGCGAAGGGTCTGGAGCACCAGGAGCAGCTGAGGGGGCTCAGCCTAGAGAAGAAGAGGCTCTGGGGGGCTTCCTCACTCTCTACAATTCCCTGAAACAAGGGTGTATCCAAATGGGGGTCAGGCTCTGTTCCCAAGGAACAAGGGACAACAGAAGAGGAAACAGCTTCAAGTTCCCCCAAGACTGGCAGAGCCCAACTCCTCTCTGCTCTGGGACAGGGACAGGAGCCAGGAACGGCTGGAGCTGGGCCAGGGCAGCTCAGGCTGGAGAGCAGGAAAGGTTCTTCCCCCAGAGGTGCTGGCACTGCCCAGGCTCCCCAGGGAATGGGCACGGCCCCGAGGCTGCCAGAGCTCCAGGAGCCTTTGGGCAGCGCTGCCAGGGATGCCCAGGGTGGGATTTTGGGGGGTCTGGGCAGGGACAGGGCTGGGCTGGGTGGTCCCTGTGGGTCCCTTCCTACTTCCCAGGGGATTCTGTGATCTCAGGTTGGTAAGCAGGGACTGGGCTTCCCTTAGTACTGAAGAGGTTTAGCCACAGGCAGAGTGGAGTTTGCTCAGCTCTTTTCCCAATAAAGAGCCACAGTTCTTAGGTGGGTGGGTGTGCTCTGGAATCAGTGAAATGGAAAGAGCAATGAGAGAGGAGCCACTGTTGGTTGCAGTGACTGCAGCAGCAGTGGTGGGTGAGTCCTGCTCTGCACACCCAGGCCAGGCAGGCACTGACAGCCCCTCTGTCCCCTCTGTCCCCTCTGTCCCCAGCTGCCATGCAGCAGATGCTGGCTGAGACCTACAAGAACAAGCTCCTCCAGACGACCTCCGAGTCTCGTCGGGAGGACCTCGTCAGCCAGGCCTGCTCCAGGTGCAGGGGGTGTCTGGGGCTGGTGGTGCTGGTGTGAAATCCCATTCTTTCAGCAGTGTAATTCCCAGAAGTACACCAGGAACCCCTGGAGCTAGTGGAATGCAGCTGTAACAGCACAGGACAGTGCAAATTAATCTGTCAGACACCTTTAAATGAACCACCTTGTAACGACTACAATTTGCATGTTAATCGCACTTTGGGGGAACTGTCACTTTTTTGTACCATTTACTTTGCCTTATACATTCTGCTAATATGAAGGATGTAGTTAGACCACTAGTATTCCTGTGTTTTGAGGCACTTCAGTGCCAAAATGTAGCCCAGAGCTGCTCCCCTCACCTCCCAGGCTGCCTCAAGAGTGCTGTGTAGTAAGTACACAAATGTTGCTGTGCAAACCGAGAGCATCCTGGCTCACTGATTACAACAAGATGAGAATTTTTTAATCTGGCAACATCTGTCACTGACCAAAAACAGCCTTGTGAACCTGTGACCTGCTCAACAGGGCCACAGGAGCCTGTGGTGCAGGTTTGTTTTGGGTGTAGGGAAGGAGGTGTTAAATTTGTGGCTTTCAACTGTGCAGTGCCACTGCTCTTCCCCAGTTCACTACGAAATTCCTCCTCCTGCATTCCCCATTGCCTGCTTTTCCTCTGAGTCCCAGACCCAGCATTAACTCTGTGGCACATCCATCTCCTTGCAGCCTAGCTGAGATGGATCAGAAGTTCCAGCAAATCCTGGCTTGGCAGCAGCTGGATCAGAACAAAGCTGTCAGTCAGATCTTGCAGCAGGTAGGCAAAGGAGCAAACTGGTCATGGGGGATTGAGGGAGAGCAGGATCCAGAGTGGGTCACAGCAGCAGCAGTGGCTGGCCTGGGCTGCATGCAGAAGTGATTTTAAAACTACATGCTAAACTTTGAAAATACCTGCTATTCTGACAAACTAACTTGGGTGGTTGAAAAAATTATTTTTCTAGGCAGCAAATTTTCAGAAAAGACTGAAGCACAGACCATGGGAAGCAAAACTGACACAACGATTAAGAGGGGATTTTGAGACAGAGGTCCTGTCTTTTGGCAGGTTTCCTGGGGGTCTTGGGAGAAGCATTTTCAAAGTTTGTTCTCAGAAGTGCTGGGCAGCTGTGCCCTGCAGCACAGCCTGGCTACTCAGTGCTGCTGAAAAGGAGAGGTGGGGTCACACAGAGCATTCCAGATGAATGTTTGACTAACATTAATATTTCTCTGTGTGTCTCCAGGGTGGGCTTTACCTGTTGGGCTCTCAGCTGTGTTTCAGGACATTGTTGCTCAGAGCAAGCATCACTCAGGGTGCTTGAGTCCCTGCAAGGCAGCAGCCTCTGAGCCCATCAGCAACTGTACCAACCACTTCACTAAACAGGATTTTGTCTATCTCTCAGATTGAGATGCAGAAAACTGCCTTTGAAGCTCTCCAGGTGAAGAAGGATCTTATGCACAGGCAGATTAGGAACCAGGTGAGTCAGCAACAGAGGAAAGAGCAACCAGCTCCTCAGTTCCTCCTGCTGTTTGATGAGACCCTGGGAGGAAGAACAAAGTGCTGTGAGCACAGAGCAGGGTCTGAGGACATGGAGAGCTCTGGTGCTGCTGAGAGCTCTGGAGAAGAGAGCTGGACAGTGCTGGTTACATTCCAGTCTCCCAGCTCTGAGGGAGGCAGTGTCAAAGCAAGTTTTTGATTCCTGGAGGTGGTGGCATTGCCACTCCTTCAGTCACCTCAGCATTGGAGGACAGACCTGCACTGGCTCTGGGGGTGATCTGCAGTTAAACCTCTGATTTCCTTCAGGCTGTGTACTTGGCAGGGCTGCTGCTTCCACATGAGCCCACTGCATCTCCATCCAGCACATTAGAGCTGCACCTTGAGCCATAAGTTCACCTTTTCTTTCCCATTCTCAGCCTGCCTTTCTGAGCTCCATCCTGCAGAAGGTGCAGTGACGTAGTTGGGGGGAAGAGCTGGTGGAGAAAGTGGCAGGGGATGATGCAGGACGATGGAAAAGTGGCAGGGGATGATGGAAAAGTGGCGGGGGATGATGCAAAAGTGACAGGGGATGATGCAGGATGATGGAAAAGTGACAGGGGATGATGCAGGATGATGGAAAAGTGGCAGGGGATGATGGAAAAGTGACAGGGGATGATGGAAAAGTGACGGGATGATGAAGGAAGGTGGGAAAGCAGCAGTGGTGGATTCAGGAAGGAGGGTTGCTGGTTTCTGGCACAGTGCTCCAGAATCTTCCCTCTCCTGATGTGACACAGGAGAAAAGTCTCTGTACAGGATTTGATGGATAAACTTGAGGGCTTGGATATTTAGAGTGCCCAGTGACCAGTCTGCTGGAAGCCTGTGACCTGTGTGGCAGCTCCCCATCATTGCCTGACTTCACCATAAGGAGCCTGCATTTTGCTCCCTCTTGCTCTGTGAACAAAGGGAATTTGTTCCTTGAGGCCAAGGCTGGACCTTTCACCCTTGGGACCTCTCCCACCCTGTGCAGAGCCCTGGGGTCAGCAGGAGCAGTGTGGCCTGGGGACAGTTGGTGGCCTGGCACAGGGGTGAGCTGGGCTCTCATCTTGGCTTTGCTGTGGGACCTTGGGCAACTCATTTCACCTCTCTGTGTCTCAGTTGCCCCACCTGAAAGAGCAGGTGTTGTTCTGGGATTGCTGGAGCACCTGGAAGCCAGGGCACTGTCCCAGGAGTCTGAGGTTTGAGCCATGCTGCTGGGGGGACCTTGGCTCTGCACTCCAGAGTGGCTGCAAAAGGTTTGGGTGCACAGACTGATTACAGAGTGAGGTTCCAGACTTGAGCAGAAGGTGCTCAGAGTAGACAGGTGGAGCCGGGGGACACAGCTCCTCAGGTAAAAGAAGAGGGATCCTCAGCACACACATCACCAAAGGGCACAAGCAGTTCCCCCCCAGCCTCTGGGTGCTCTGCAGTGCTGCCCTTGCCAATCAGACCTCATTTTAAAAGAGCATAAATTAAAGTAATTTTAAATGTCAGTAAAAAATGTTTCATTTTCTGTTTAGATTAAATTAATAGAAACAGAATTATTGCAGCTGACGCAGCTGGAATTAAAGAGGCAAGAACTGGACACAGAGATGCTGCAGGTACGTGGGGCTCTGGACTGCTCCCACCCTCCCTGCTCTGGGATTGCTCCACTTGCTTCCCTTGCTCCTGGCAGTTTCCAGATGGTTCTATGCTCAGTCAGAAGTTCCTTCTGCTCAGGACACACCAACCCCTCTGTGTCCTGGGAATGTGGGACATGGCTGCTGCTCCTAAACATCCCCAGGCATTCTGAGCAGAGGGACAGAGGAGCCCTGATAGGGATGGGCAATTCCAGGTGTGCTGGGTGGGGAAGGATTTTGCAATCCAGTTGTTGGCTGTCCCAGAAACACCTGCCTGCTGTGCATTGCATGTCCTCTTACATTGTGTTGTGTTTTGGTTTTGATATCATCAGTCACACATTGAGGAGTACCAGGTTTAGCTTCAGCAGCTTGGCTTTAAGTTTTGTTTTGTGATGATTTGCATCAGTTGTTTTCTTCTGTGTGCCATGTGCCAGGTCAGGTCACCTGTTTAGTCAGCCCAAAATTCAGTGGAGGTCACTGTTTAGTCAGCCCAAAACCAGCCAGGGCAGTCACAGAGCAGTGGTAAGTGCTGGCTTCAGGCAGCAGTGCCTCCCAGCCCTGTCCTGCATCCTTCAGCTGTGAGGTTTGTGTTGTGCTGCCGGACTCACACAGCTGCTGTCTGTCAGTCTGTGCTGCTGGAGGCTGGGGACCACCCAGAGTTCATGCAGGGCAGACCAGGAGTGACCTGGGGAGCACAGGAGCTGCAGGGCTCTGCCCGGGTACCCAGCTGCAGCTTCAGCACCAGGAGCCAGGGAACAAGGCCTGGACACCTGGATCTGTCTGGATCCCCCTGCCCTGGGTGCTGTGCACCCCAAAGGGCCCCTGCTAGGGCTGGACCAGCTCCTCCTGTTATCTCTGCCTCTGAGGAGATGCTGATGCCTCCTGCTCTGGTCACCTGGAGGTGGGGTGGCCTGGGAGGGGCAGCTGTTCCTCTGTTAACAGGGGCCTTGTCCTGTGCAGGGTCCAGGTGCTGATCCCAGGCTGGACAGGCCTTGCAGACCCCTGAGACAGTGGGAGGTGTCCCTGCCCGTGGTAGGGGGTGGAACAAGATGGGTTTTAAGGTCCCTTCCAACCAAACTAGTCTGGGATTCTGTGATCAATGAAGGTTTCCCCAAACTTCAGGGTGTAACAGAATCCTTGTCCCTCTGTCCATGGGTGTCTGAAGTCCTTGTGGCTGGTGACCACTGGCCTCTGCTCAGATATGGATGAGCTGGGACTGAAGCTGCAGAGATGCCACATGATGGGACATTCCTGAGCCACTTAACTCTCCACTGCCAAGGAGTGACTGCAGGGATGCCTGGCCCTGGCCTGGTGTGCTTGGGGTGAGACCCCAGGGAAAGGAAGCATCCCAAAGGCACGGGGACCTCATCTGTCCTGTTCACCTGCAGGATTCCAGACCTACTTTCAGGTGGTCTTTTCTCAGTTGGACAGGGCTTGTAGCAGCCTGGGACAGTGGAAGTTGTCCCTGCCCATGGCAGGGGGTGGAACCAGAGGAGCTTTAAGGTCCCTTCCAACCCAAAGCAGTCTAAGATTCCATGATTCTAAGGAGGGTACCATGAATACTTTTGGCTGAACTTCTGATGGAGTGAGGAGGAGCTGCTGTGGCCAGGGTGGGCTGGGGCTGCTCAGAGCAGCAGTGCAGGCTGAGGGAGCAGGTTCAGCTGGTTCTGCCCTGCCAGCTGCTAGGAGAGGATCTGAGCTTGGGGCACAGGGGTTGCACAGCCACGGGGACTGGTGTGGGTCTGGCAGGGGCTTTGCTGGGAAGGGGACAGGGTGGCAGCAGTGTGGGGCTGTGGCTGCCAGAGCTCTCCTGTTGCAGGAGGCGGTCACGGAGCAGCGCCGGGCGCTCGGCTGCCTCCTGCAGCAGCTGCTCAAGGAGAAGAAGCAAAGGGAGGAAGAACTGCAACAAATCCTGGTAATGAAGTCCCTCATGAAGTGCATTGGGTGAGGAAGCATTTGGGTTGGCTGCAGGGAGAGTTCATGGCTCAGGGTGGGACTGAAGGGAGCAGAGCAGGGCTGTGTCCAGATCCAGAAGCCAGTTTAGTCCCAGGAAGTTGTAACGAGACCTGGGGTGCACAGCAGCACTCCCTGGTGCAGCAGGGGCACCATCATCTCCCCCAGTGACCCTGCTGGGAAGGAAATGGTCAGCAGGATGGGCACAAGGGGTGGGAGTTGTGCTCTTGCAATCCTGAAGATCTGCAGACCCTCCTGAGCCTCAGGAGACCAGGCCATGGGGCCTGGGGCAAAGGGAGGAGGGAGATGCACAGCCCTGGACTGGGTGTGAGTGGGGTCAAAGTGGGGCCAACCTGCAGGAGCCAGAAATCCTGTTTGACCCCCCCCATCACAGAGCTTTGGCTGGGCCCTGCTCTGCCCAGGCTGGGGGTTCCCTCCTGCACACCCATCCCTGAACCCCCCTGGCCGTGTTCCCTCGGGCTGCTGAATAAATGAGTTTGTTTTTCAGCTGGAAATGGAGGCAAAGAGTGAAACCAAGCAGGAGAACTACTGGCTGATCCAGTACCAGCGCCTGCTGAACCAGAAACCACTCTCCCTGAAACTCCAGGTGCTGCTGCTGTTCCTGGTCCCACTGTGCTCTGCTCTGCTCTGGGGGGAATGAGGACAGCCCCCTGAGGCTGGGAGCAGGTCACAGACCCCTCACACAGATCCAGTGCTGCCCATGGTGCTCTGAGCTCCCTCATTCCTGCCTGTGGAGGGGATGGAGCTGCCCGGGTCCCTCTGGAGCCAACACCTCAGCTGTTCCCAGCAGGAGCTGCTGTCCCAGCCCCAGACTGCTGGTCAGGAACAGAAAACTCGAGTACCTTCCAGGCAGGGTTTCTTGTTCCAGCTGAGCACCCAAAGGACTCTGCTTGGCTCCCCAGATTTCCCTTCAAACATGACTGAGTGCAGCAACTCCTGCCCATTCCTATCCCCGATGGTCTGAGCCAGGACTTCATGCTGGGCATAAAGGGTGGGCACAAGGAGGTGGATCTGAGCTCTGCCTGTGCTGCAGATTGGCTTGAGCTGGCCAAGCAGGGGCTGCTGCAGACATGGATTGCCAAAGGCATTGTTTCATGTGTGAGGGGAGCTCACCAGGGCTGCAGCTCCTCCCGAGGGGCAGCTCCAGCTCTGCTCTGGGACAGGGACAGGAGCCAGGAATGGCTGGGCAGCTCAGGCTGGAGAGCAGGAAAGGTTCTTCCCCCAGAGGTGCTGGCACTGCCCAGGCTGCCCAGGGAATGGGCACGGCCCCGAGGCTGCCAGAGCTCCAGGAGCCTTTGGCCAGCGCTGCCAGGGATGCCCAGGGTGGGATTTTGGGGGCTCTGGGCAGGGACAGGAGTGGGCTGGGTGATCCTGGTGAGACCCGTCCATCTCGGGATATTCAATGATTCCCAGACCTCATCATTTTGAACTATGCCCATAAAGCACCTGGGCCAGAGCTGCTCCAGCTGTTGGGCTTCCAGGCTTTGGTGTGTTTGGGATGCAGCACAGCTGGAGCAGGACAGGCCAGGGATGAGCACAGCCCCAGCCCTGCTGCTGCCTGACCTCAGGGGCACAGTCTGGCAGCTCATGCCGTGTTTTGCAGGAGAAGGGTTTGGAGCAGCAGCTGGTGACCCTGCTGCTGGAGCTCTCTGCTGAGCAGTACGTGCCAATCTTCGCTCACCACCGAATATCCCTGGAGACGCTCGGCACCATGAGCACCAGTGACCTGGAGAAGGTACGAGGCAGCAGGGCCACAGTGTGGGACAGCAGCAGCAGGGATTGTCCCTGTCCTTGCTCAGAATCCAGCTGTGCCTGGCGGGTCTGGCTGTGTCACCTCCCCACAAGGACAGTGCCTGTGCTGCTCTGCCTGTCCCTGTGGGCAGTGGCTCTTCCAGAGACCTGCAGGGTGAGCCACAGCCTGGCTCCATCTTCCGCCATCCTCGGATGCTCTCTGTAGCAGAAATAGCCCCGGGGAATTGCTAGTGTCAGGCAGAGGGGCTTTCCTTGGCATGGCCACGCCTTGCCAGCAATGCCCAGGAGTTTTCATTGTCCCCCTGGGGACATCAGCCTTCTGTGCCTCTGGGGCCAACACCCTCCTCTTGCCCCGCAGCTCGGTGTGACGGAGGCTGGTCTGCAGCGTGCCATCCTCAGGCGGACTCAGGAGATCCTGGCTGTGGCCACGACCAGCCCAGGTACCCTCAGTTCTTTACTGCCACATTTTACACTCTCAGCAGGTAGCTGAGCCTGGAGCAGGGAGCTCTGTGGCTCAGACACCTCCTGTGGGTGTGTGAGGAGGGGAGGCAGAGCTGCGATGGGCAGCACCCAGGGGACTCAGAGCTGGCTGTGGTTGGTTGCAGAGCTGCGGAGGGCAGAGAACACCGGGGTCCCTGCGGCCCCAGAGCCCAGCGCTCCCCTGGAAGAGCCCCCGGGCCCCGCGGTCCCCACGGCCCCACCGTGGGACGAGAAGAAGTCGGAGTGCGTTGTGTGCATGGAGCAGGAGGTGAGAGCCGGCACAGCCCGGGGCTGGAGCAGGGGCGGAGGGAGGGCGGGATCCAGCGCAGCCCCAGCTCTGTGTGCCCAGCCCGGCCCTGGCAGTGCCCGGTGCTCATCCCGCCCGCTCCCGAGCACAGCCGGGCTGGGCATCACAGCGGGGATGGAGGGAGAGGAGGGCAGGGCAGGGATGGACAGGGCTTGGGCCGGACCTCGCTGAGCTGCACCCGCCGGCCTGGGAAGCGCTCACGGGGCTGCTCAGCTCAGCTTGGGCCCCCAGTGTCCTGCCCCGTGTCCCATCGTATCCTGCCCTGTATCCCATCCCCGTGTCCTGCCCCGTGTCCCATCGTGTCCATTCGTGTCCTGCCCCGTGTCCCATCCCCGTTGTCCCATCGTGTCCTGCCCCATGTCCTGCCCCTTGTCCCATCCCCGTTGTCCCATCGAGTCCTGCCTCGTGTCCCATCCCCGTGTCCCATCCCTGTGTCCCATCCCCGTTGTCCCATCGTGTCCCATCCCCGTGTCCCACCCCCGTTGTCCCATTGTGTCCTGCCTCGTGTCCCATCCCCGTGTCCCATCCCCATGTCCCATCCCCGTGTCCCATCGTGTCCTGCCCCATGTCCTGCCCCGTGTCCCACCCCCGTTGTCCCATGGTGTCCTGCTCGGCACAGCCCAGGCCCCGCACACCCAGGGCAGACGGAGATCGGGGTGTGGGGCTCTGCCCCCCACGCTGAGACCCCGCGGGTGATCCCCAGCTCCCCCCGTGCTGGAGCGGTGTTCGGGGACAGCAGCAGTGTCCCCTCTTTGTCTCTCCCTCAGCCCCAGATGATTTTCCTGCCCTGTGGCCACGTCTGCTGCTGCCGGGGCTGCTGCGAGCAGCTGCACTCGTGTCCCCTGTGCCGCCAGGACATCGCCCAGCGCATCCGCATCTTCCACAGCGCCTAGGCCGGCCCGGAGGCGCGGCCCCGCTCCCGGCCCCGCTCCCGGGCTGTTCCCATTGCTGCTCATGCCCCTGTCAACAGCCCTCGGCAGCACGGCCAGCACTGTCCTCCCCGTGCCGGGAGCCTCAGCATCCTCCCAGCCCCCAGCTGGGGCTCCTTCAGTGAATCCCCTCCTGCTGCCTGTCCTGTCTGCTGAGGTGTTTGCTGTCAGAAAGGCCTCTGGGGCTCACACGGGGAGTGCTTCCAGCAGTGCTGCCCGGATGTGAGGGAATTTCCCATGGGAGCATTCGGGCAGGACGTGCTGTTCTTCGTGTACTGACACTGCCTTGCACATCTGTCATGCCAAAGGTCTGGGGCTCTGCTCTGGAGCCCACAGGAGCGTGTGTGGCTCTGCAGCCTCGGGCAGGGCAGAGCCAGGAGCTCCCCAGTTCCTCTCATGTGGGAGGGGAGAGAGCAATGCTGCTGGAGGGCCAGAGGAGCCCAGTGGGGTCCCCAGCCACAAACCAGGTAGGGAGCAGAAAGTGCTGCTGCCACCGCACAGCACTGAGGCAGGGCTGGGGCTGTGCCCAGCTCAGGACCACGGTGTGTCTGCACCGGGCTGTGGGGACTGCTCCATTGTCACTGGTTAGTAACAATTCCTGTCTGTGCCTCGGCTCTTGACCCTGAAATATAAAAATGCTGCTTCGAGCCCAGTCCACCACAGCCTTCCCCAGGAGCAGCCATTAAACTGCAGCTGGTTTCTGCTGGGGGTGTTTGTGCCTCTTTCCTTCTGTGGGGCCATGGCTGAGAGCCGGGGTGTGGAGCAGCCCGGCTGTCCCAGTGTCACCTTCCTGTCAGACAGAGAAGAATTTGAGGCTCTGGCCCTTCTCCCAGGGTGTTGCTCATTGTCGAGCTGCCCCAGGGATGCCGAGGCAGGGGAGACCTTGGACCCTGCGCTTGGGTTGCCTCACATGAGCTGCCCCATGCAGAACATCCCTGTGGGACACGTGTGTGGCCTCGTGGAGGTGGCCTGTGCCCAGTGCCACCAGTGTCCTGGGACGTGCCACAGCACCAGAGCCGGCGCCTTGGGAACACCCTGGGGATGTTTTTCCAGCCTCTGTTTTCACGTTTTGCTGCTGCTGCCCATCAGAGCAGGCAGGTCCCGTCTGGGGAGGGGCAAGGGGCTGCACCAGGAGCAGCTGGTGCTGGGGATGGAGGAGGGGAACCCTGCGGAGGCTGAGGGCATGAAGGCAGGAAGGGTCCTGGAGCACCTTCACTCATTCCCCGAGGCCGGGGAGAAGGAGGGAGTCACAAGCCCTGGCCTGAGGACGGCGAGGAGCAGGGAGAGGGGATCCAGCTCCTCAAGGAGCTCCCCCTGTGCCCCTCCCCCGGGGCAGTCAGGGACCACACGGGGACCCCACGGGGAGGGAGGAGAGTCCTGAGGGCTGCCCCGACCCCCGGCCGGCAGCAGCGATGCTGCAACACCCCCTCCACCCCCTCTGCCATCCCACCTCCCCCTCCGTGCCCACCGCCGGGGCGGTGATGGGTGACAGGAGCTCAGGGCAAGGTCCGCTCGGGGACAATGCCCGTGAAGAGGGGCCAGCGCTTCCCGGAGCTCCGGCAGTGCCGGGCTGCCCTTCCCAGCACGGCCCCACGAGCTGCAGGGACAAACCCGCTCAGCCACGGGTCACACAAAACAGCGGGAGCATCACCCGGGACTCTGAGCACATTCTGAGATTGCGGGAAAAAGTAAAATAATATTATAAAAAATCACCCTACGGCCCCAGCAGTGCCCGGCAGTCGGAGGCTGCAGCCCCCGTCCATCCCTGGCACCCCGAGGTGCCGGTGCCGGTGGTCAGGGCCACCTCCTGCACCGGGTGGCAAACAGACCCAAGGCTGGTGGGACATGGGTGCGCTGCTGTCCCCAGTGCTCAGCTGGTGCCAGGGTTCATTAACAGGGATAGAAACCATGCTTGGGAAGCGTTACGCATATTTGGAAGGGGAAAAGGGAAAGAGCAGCGGGTGTTTTAGGGGCAGCAGCTCCGCGGTGGAAGTGGAGCGTTCCGTGTGCCGCTCCAGCGCCCGCCGAGCACTCTGGGGCCGGGCTGAAGTTCAGGGGGGGCGGCTGCCCCGGCCCCCTCAGCCCTCCCCGGCTCGGCCATCGCCGCCCCCCGCCTTCAAAAGCGGCGGGGCCGGGCCGTGCCCGCGGAGCGCGATGGCAGCGGGGCCCGAGGCGGGCGCGGAGTGCGGCATCTGCTACGAGGCGTTCTGGGGCGCCGGGGGCGGCCCGCAGCAGCTGCCCTGCCGCCACTCGCTGTGCCAGCGCTGCCTCCGCCGGCTCGTGTGCCGCGCCGCCACCGTGGCCTTCGTCAGCTGCCCCTTCTGCAGGATGGTGACACTGCTGCCCGAGCGCGCCCCGGGGACAGCGGAGCCGCCGGGGGAGCAGCAGCAGCAGCAGGAGCACGGCGGCGGTGCCCCCCCGGACCCCGGCCAGGGCTCGTCGCGCTCCGTGGCCGCGCTGTGCTCGTCCCACGCCCCCGTGTTCGCCGTGAGCAGCTCGGTGTCCCCCTGCGGCCCCCGCCGCGGCTCCGAGGCCTCCCACGCCTTGGTGCTGGGGCTGCTGGGCCGGGGGCTGCTGCTGGACACGCAGCCCCCGCTGGCCTCCATGGAGAACCTGCGCCTGGGCTTCGCCGCCGCCATCCTCGTGCTCATCGTCTCCACCTTCTTCCTGCTCGTCTTCCTCAAGTAGGTCCGCACGGCGGAGCCGGGCTCCCGTCCCATCCCAGCCCGGTGGATGGAGCCGGTGACGGGTCAGGGACTCCCCGGGCCGTGGGCACCTCGCTGGGCTGGGCTGGGCCACGGCTGAGCGCCCGTGTGGATCCAGCCCTGGGGCCCGCAGGACGCTCGGCTGCCCGCAGGAGAGCCCGCGGCCATCAGACTCTTTAACAATTAACTCGGTGCAGCGCTGTCCTCGCCCGGGGCCAGGCGGTGCTCACGCTCCGTCCCGAACGGCCCCGGCGGAGCTCGGCGGGAGGAGCCGGGCCGGAGCATCCCGGGCGGGCCCGGAGCATCCCGAGCTGCCCCGGGGCCGAGGCTGCTCCCAGGCAGCTCCAGGCCCCTTCCCGGGAGGACAGAGCCCGGCGCGGTGTCGGAAGGGCTCAAGGATGAGACAGGCGGGGACGGGCTCGGCCCTTCAGAGACACGAGACATTAAACCAGCCATGGGTCCAGCACCGCGTCCGGAGTTTTTCTGAGGAGTCCACGAGCCTCGGCAGGCAGGGCAGGGGCTGAGCCCAGGGCCAGGATGGAGCAGGGGTTCCTCTCCTTCCCAGCAAAGTTCTCCGCGGTTCGCCCCGCTCTGGCAGAACTCAGCCCCGGGATCGGGGTTAGCCCAGTAATGCTGCCCCCGGGCCCTGGCACGTCCCTCCCTCCCCGGGCTGCTCTGCCCCGGGAGCCCCGAGCTCCCTCCTTCACCCCCTGCAGCCCGGGCAGGTGCTCACACAGGCACACACAGGGTTAATTCAGATCCCTGGGGCCAGGCCGGGTGGGGAAGGGAATGTTCCAATCCCAACTCCTGCACCCCAATCCCTGCTCAGGGCTGAACCTTTCTGCAGCCCCAGAGCAGCGCAGGAGGGCCTGGGCGCTGCAAACCCCTGCAGGTGCCCAAGGTCCCCTCCCCTGGAACCTGAGGGGAGCCAGGCAAGTGCCCTCTGTGACCATTCCAGTTCTTTGTGCTCCAGCTTCCCACCCCAACCCCGGCCACTGTGAGAGCCCAAGGAGCCACAGCACAAAAGGACCTACTCTCCCCTCCCAGGAGAGGCCTTCAACACCACCAGACAAGCACAGCTTCTACATCAAATTATTCCCAATTTAAGTCAGAGCAAAGTCAGTTTTCAGCTGACAGATGAAGCCAGACTAAAGTAAAGCCATTGCAAGTAAGAAATACAGGTTTAATTGCACTTTATTTTCCAAGAAGTGAAATGCAAATGCCTCAGGGTGTCTATCTGTAACGGGGAACAAGAAGTGGAAGTTGTTAGTATGAGCAATGATTGCCCCTGGGACACCAGGGCACTGACACTCAGAGCAGCACCAGCACCCCCAAAAATCCAGTTTCAAACACCCTCATACTGAGCACTGAGTGATGCCCAGGAAGGCCCAGGTCAGGTCACCCTGCACGGCAGCAGCGTGGCTGTCACAGGCTTTGGTCTCTGCCCCAGTTTCATCTCCATTTGGCAACTTGTGGCAAGGGTGGGGCACAGGGACCAGCCACACCCCCCAACACCAACACCCAGTGCCCTTTTGGGTGTTTTCCTCCCAAGAAATCACCTCCAGGGGGACAGAGATCTAACTCCAATCAGAGTCTGTAAAGGCAGGTGTAGAAACTAAACCACAGAATTAGTAGAATTAGTTTAAGTCCTTCCATTTTACAAAGGGGTTCATTTGTTTTAAAGACTTCTGGGGTGAAGTTGTGTTAGTGCCCATGAGTAAAAGTGCAGTGAGAGCCCAGGCTGTTTGCCCAGCTCTGTCCTCACTCCTTTCCCCTCCTGGTCCCCTCAGAGTGCAGTGACACCCCAGACCGCAGCCCAGCCCGGGCCTTGTGTCCCACCCCTCTGTACCATCTAACTGGCGCTGGGATGGTCACACTTTAACAGCAGCAGAGCCAAAGGCACGGGAGAGGGGCTGGGCTGTGGGGAAGGACTTCCCAAACACACAGCACAGCCCAGAGCGGGGCTGCTGCTCCCACAGGGAAACACAGGCCAGCAAAACCACCTCAGCTCCGGGCACAGGAGGAGCTGAGCTGCCTGTGAGTGTCTGACTAACACACAGCAGGGATTGGGCTCCTTGCACCCAGCACAGCTGCTCAGGTTTCCCAGAGCCCCAAGGCCCAGCAGCATCTGGGTCAGTGCCCACCTGAACCACCTCAGCCCCCAGGGCTGCCCAGGCTGCTTGTGCAGAGCCAGGGGCTCACCAGAAACACCTGACTGGGACTCCTGGGGAACCTCCAGTGGCACATGGCTCAGACACAGTGGGGTGAGGGTGCAGGGTCCCTGGGAGCCACCTGGGCACTAAGAGAAATATTCCAAGGAGTTCATCACTGGGGAAGGAGATTTTAGTCTGATTTTTTAACAGGGTGTTGCCACTGCAGGGTCCTGCCAGACTTGCTCTGCTGAAGCTCTTCACCAAGTTCCTATTTGCAAAAAGTTTGAGATTAATGAATCCAGGGCTCAGGGGAGGGGGCCAGTGGGTGGCTCCTGCACTCAGCCCAACCCCAGAGTGTTTGGCAGCTCAGAGTGACAGCGCTGAGCACCCACGAGTGCAGGAAGAGCCCCCTGCTGCTGCCAGCCCCCATCCAGGACAGGACAGGAGCTGGGAAGTCCCTGCTCATTCCCAAGGTCCCACGAGGGCAGCTTGCCAAGGGCTCAGAGCACGGAACAGGCCATGCCCAGAGGAGAGGGCTCAGCAGCCACATCTTCATCCCAGCCAGTCCAGGTCATCGTCATCATCGTCACCGAAGAGCGGCGCGGGAGGGGGACGCCCCTTCATGCTCTGCAAGCCACACCAGAGGGAAACTGGTCAGCCCCAGCAGCTCCCTGGCATTGCATAACCACTGAACAAACTGCTCTGAAATCTCTGCCAGCCCTGAGGAATTGGGAGCAAGAAGCCTCATTACCCAAGTTTTTATTTCTCATGTGGAGGTTTGCTGTTGAGATTAGGTTTAGATTAGATAGCAGGAAAAATGTCTTGATGGAAAGGAATGTAAAGCAC